CATATATAAATATAAAGGTCTTCTAATCACTACACCTGATTAGACTTTTTAAACTGTATTTGTTGGCAAGGTTAGCCCACCCAGAAGACAATGCTGCCACAGCTAGAACACTTCTTGTACCTGAGTTAGGTAGTTTAATTCTGGCAAGTTTCTTTGAGTAGATGTGATATCTTTTATTAGACCAACTAAGTAGCTGGAAAAAAGTTCTTAGCAAGCTTTTGGGTGCAATCACCCTTCTTCATGCATAGGAAGTCTGCTGTTCTGAAACTCTAAGGAAGTAGTTTAATGCAAGTACTGATGTCTCTACAATACACTGTATTCTGCAGTGTAGACACACCCTCAAAACTGCATTTCCTAGCAGCAGATGATTCAATGAATTTTTTATAATACCCTACATTACTTGTTGTAGGAGGGCTGGGGTGTTGGGCCCTCAATCTCATCTGGGGTGACCCACCTGCCACGACTTTGAGATGGGAGAAAGAAGAATTAATACCCTTTTAATGTATGTAATTAAGTTCAAGCCAGTTACAAGGATTTTGTTTATTGAACAATTCTCTCAAGCCAGTTAAGCGAAATGAGCGGATGTCACTATAAGAGGCAACCCACCACTTTTTTCCATGCTCACTGAGTCCTGGAGTCCATCTCTGACCCCAGCTCTCCTTTCCTCCAGGGATCGTTGCTCTGGTTTTTCCAGCAGCATCCTGACAACTATCCTGTCCAGGTAAGTGGAAAATCTTCCTCACCTTCCTTGGTGGCAGAATCCCACAATGGTTTTGCTCACTCAACTGCAATCCACTCAAGTTCCTCTGTCTGCCTGTCTCATCAGGTGTCTCGTCCTCGTCATGCCTCCAGGGGCAATCACTTGTTCTGAATGGCTGCCTTTTATCCTCCCCCCCCCTCTTCCCCCCTCCACTTTAATTAAGTTTAGTAGGGTATTAAAAATGAATGTCGATAGTTTCACTTTTCTATGAAGAACAAGATTCAGAAGCCAGATAAAATGTGTGAAGAATATGATCACAATGGATCAATCATTTACAAAGTTTATAAAAAGAAATGGACTGAAATATGCTGGCAAAATAGCTCTTCTATTAGAAAATAGAATCACAGAATCATAGCATCACAGAAAATGAGGGTTGGAAGGGGCCTTAGGAGGTCATCGAGTCCAACTCCCTGCTCAAAGCAGGGCCATCCTCAGCTATACCATCCCAGCTAACCAGGTCTTAAAAACCTCCAGGGATGGAGCTTCCACCACATTTCTGGGTAACCTGTTCCAGTGTTTTACTACCCTCCTAGTGAGAAAGTTTTTCCTAATATCTAACCTAAACTTTCATTGCTGCAACTTGAGACCATTGCTCCTTGTTCTGTCAAGTACTTCATGTTCTGTTGAGTACTCCATTTTTACTCAGAGATGGCCGAGTCTAGAAGTGTGATTCATCTTTTCTTGAAATTGATGAAGAACTGAAACTGATAAAGAAATGACGGGAAGGGATTTATAAGTTTTTCAGTTCATGTGTATGTTCTGTTGTGCAAGGAACACAGAGCAATGCTTGATGAACAGAAGACGGACGAGTCAAAGAAGTCCAGATCTGTGTTGCTCCTGTGGTTCAGATATCTGAATCCTGTTGCCTCTGCAGCTAGAATATCTAGTGACAGGCAAGTATGAATGCTCTAAAATTCATCCAGATGCATAAAACATCTAAATTGTCACATTTCTCCCTTTATAAATGTAATGAAAATTCCAGATTATCAGGAGATTGAAAGATGGAACTATTTGATAGTTTGAAAAAATGTTCACAAACTTTTTCAGCATATGCTTAATATGTAAAGACTCAACACACACACATACACACATCCAATGGGTGCATCTACACATCCAATTAATGGCTGTATCCACATGAGCAGAAACATGCATTTGCAGCAGCACAAACAGTAGTGGCACAAATTTGTGCCACTGTTTTGTGCCATAGTGCATACCCCTGCCTTTCCCATGCACTTTGCAGAGTGACACATTGTCTCACTGCTCCATGTGCTATGGGGGTGAGTGTACAGAGATGGAGAAGCAGGCAGCCCAGGGCTGCCTGCTCCCTCATTTCTGCATTTGTCCGGTTGCATGCCACTTTGGTGTGGTTTGAGCCATTTTTTTTATTTGGGGGTGGGGCGGGGGATGTTGTTACCAGGAAATCCTGCTACCAGGAAATTCTGGTAGCAGTTTTGTTTCCCAGCACTGCAAATTAGCAGTGCCATGCACAGTTTAACATGCTGGATGTGCAGGTTGGGGTGCCACAAAGAGGTTCGCAGTGCCACAAACCGCATGTACCTGCACATCTGGATCTGGCCAATGTGATGCAATAAACTTAGGAGCAGTTTGAGCCAAAGTAAACTGCTCCTGGGCAGAGGCTACATGTGTGCCTGGGACAGCAGCAATTTGAGCCAGGACAGAGCAGGCCCCCAGCTGGCTATGCTGACCAGGAGCAATTTATGCCCACAGTCAGTGGTTACACATCCATTTCAGCGCAGTAAATTACCCCACCATAAGATAGTACTGTGAACACTGTGATGCTGGGGTAGATGGAGCATTCCACAGGAGCGTGGGGAGACCCCCTGCGTGCTTGGTGGTGAACCTGGAAGTGGACGGGAAGTTCTTCTAGTCTACTTCCGGGTCTGCCAGGGAGCGCACACAGCCACGCTGCCCCCACACACACACACCCCAGTTCAGCGATTGGCTACAGGGGGACCACGGGTGCCTCCCCAGACCCAGGAGGCACCAGTCACTGAGCCGGGTGGTGCAGGGGGCCCTGGAGTGCTCCCTGGTGGATCTGGAAGTGGACTGGAAGTGCTTCTGGTCCACTTCTGGGTCTTCTGCCAAGTGTGCTGGGGAGACTCCCGGGCTCCTGTGGGATACTCCACGCACCCCAGCATCTTAGCATCCATGAGCCCCCTGGTACCTTGAGGTATGTAGAAAAAACATTTAAAACTGTGTCTATGTCCAAATCACCGAATCTTTCTGAATCTCTTTGAATCGATTTGGAGGGTTCCGATTCAATTTGGAGAGATTAAAGGGTCTCCTGATTTGATTTGGATTTGGAGATTTGGCCACTGAATCTAGCCAAATCTCTGCATGATTTGAATCAGGGACTGAAGCTTCGCACAGCCCTACAGTTCAGCAGCAAAAGAAAGGAGATCGTGATCTACCCTATGATATGTAAGCGATTTGAGATGTTTTATTAAAATTTCAACTGAAAACAGACATAATGGGCCAAGTTTGATGCTGATTTCAGTTTCATGCAAGCTTAGGAAGGACTGTTAAACTTGGGTGTAAAACAGGTTATGTTTTGGTCCTTAAAGTCATAATTATCAAAAGTGACTACATTGTGACTTCTGAGAGACCACAATATTTCCCTGTACCTAGAACAAGTAATTCAGTGTGGTGTTTCAGAAACCACACTGTGGTAGCTGCTCATATGATTTGATTTTCCAATGTCAGACAATGCCATGGTTCACAAAAGGTCATATTTTTGCCTCATTAATACATGCAACTTTATACAAAACCGTTTTTGGCTGGATTTATCTTATTATTTGATAATTGCTATAATTCTTTACCAGTTATATCAGTTACAATTTACTTTCTTAGAAACTCTTTCTGTTTATTTAGTATTATTATACTAGATTTGGTGAGAATATTAATTAGGATTTTTCACTGTGCCATATGGATGGAAATGATCTTGCACCCTTTTTGTTTTTCAATGTACTGAATTCTACAGTTGTTTTCTGCCTCCACTCCTTTTGAAATCAATAAATCAATAATAATCAGAATTTATGGCAATATTTGACAAATTGCTTTCTGCAGCACTGTTTATTTACCTGTGCTATACTTCTCATAGGACTAATAAAGTACTTGAATTTTTAAAGAAATGTAATAAGAACAGTGTTCTTTCCCACTTCTAGTTTCTCGGTTTGAAAACAGATAACATATAAGACTTCATTCTCCCCTCACTCCTTCCCCACCCCTCTTCTACCACCAGCTGCTGAAACTAATTTACCATATATAAACAGAACTCACTGATTACAGAGCTAACTAGAAAGGATACATGCTTTAGGACAACACCTATTGAAAGATTGTATTTTTATGCACTGAGAAGTGAAATGCAATAAAAAGTCAAGCTACGAAAATAATAAATCTTTGAATAATAAACTGACCTATTTACAAAAACTCATTGTTCGTGTTTGTATTGTTCATCATACAATGGAACCTTCTTAAACACATTCCTGATGTAAAAAATTCTTCTAAGCAGCAAGGAAAAGTGTTTTCCAAATTACGTAGGATAGACTGACTTTTTATAGGGAGAAGCAAATGCCTATTTTCACTCTGGTTGGGTATATATGCAAATATACAGCACTGGGAGTGAACCACACACGAGGAGAAGAATCCCTCTATGAACGTTATGCATATGTTCAGCTACTAAGCACTGAACACTTTTCATTTCATGCTCTTAGACTTGCCCTGATGTTGCATAACTGCTGGCTTCTGGTATTCTTGGACTCTTCATGTTTCCATGAGAATATCCATGCACATCGGCACAAAAAACATTTCTCAAGAGAGATGAGAATCCCAAACATAAAAGGCTCCATTCCACATCCTGGATAAAAACATTTTTTTACTTGCTGGAAAAAACTGATATTGTGTGGAAAAACCTCAAAAAAACACTCAAAAGTTCCTTAAATTGTATTGATTCCAGAATCTTCAATACCTGAGAAAACTGAGTCTGTTCCTCCTTACTGGTCACTCTGAATTTTTACCCTACAAAAGTCTTTTAGAAACTAATACTCCTCCCAGAATGCAAATACTCATGGCCAGCCCCTAGGGAAGCCAGAGCATCTTCTGATTACCTGTGCACCTGCAAAGGAAAGCTAAATGTTCTGCAACCCCACCTTTCGTGTACCTTGTGAAACAATCTGGGAACTGAGCCAAAGTCACCTCTACTATATAAGGCTCATAAAAAGACAGGTGCTTCCTCAGAAGCCAGCAGTTCGGTACTTGCTACCGAGCTCTAGTGAAGATGAGCAATGGCAGCTGGTTACGAATACCACTATGGATACCACTATTGGTGATTGCCTTTACACATAACAAAGGTAGGAGGATTTTGCTTTTTAGACTCCCCTTAAGTTCTAATTTGCTTCACAATTTGTAAAAGAAAACAATAACCTCTCAGTAGTTTAGCTTTGCTTTGTGAAGCTAATAGGCTTTTATTTTTAAATGAGATTTCCTTGTCCATACCTATTACCTTCCTTCCTAATTGTGATTTGGTAATTTCCTACTGTCCCAAGCCCAGCAAAAGGAATGGGACAAGTTAAAAACAAAACAAAACATGGGCAATAGGGTTGCATCAATACACATGAGTAAAATTTAGACAACTAGTTATTCTCTCTGGTCATTTTTACCTGTTTAAATAATTTAGATTTTGCTGGGGGCAGGTTTTAACAAATGTGAAATTTGAAACTTGATTAAAAACTTGGCATGCTAATAACATAGACTGAAAGCTTTAGGTTATACCTGGTTTTGCCTCACTGCTATGCTAATACTTCTGGTTTTAGACCTTATGTTCAGTCTTCTTTTTTCCACTCCATCAGTTCAAGATGCTTTCCAATTCCAACTCGTGGCAGAAGAATTGATACCAATGTTGTGCTCATCACTAGTTCACAAAATAGAGCTCAAATAGACACAGTGATACTTCTAAATTCTTATAATCTAACTTTCTGTGGAGTAGTGTACATAGCTTGTGCCTATGTAAATAGCCAACCGCACCCCTATTCTCTTTACACCTTTTTCCAATAACTAGAACACAGTTAAGCATATGAATAATCATACTGAAAATTAATTTCCAACTAGGAACAAGCCTTATTCTTATAGTCATGACAGCAAATGTAGTAAATAAATTTGGTTGTAACAGAGCAGTTGTAGAGTACACAGAACACAAAACAATGAGGGAACCTATTTGTCATTTGAAATATAAATTTGATTTCGTATGTTGGTTCATTTTGCTGAAAGTCTTCCTGGGATGGAAGAACTGGCAGATGAGAAAGTTGGCATTTATGGATAGAACCAGTGGAGAGTATAATATAGAGATGATGGATGCCAAAAGTCTAGCCATAATGAAAGACGCTTCTGGAACAAATAAGTATCAGAATCAAGGGCTTAATTCCTGCCAGATACCAATATTTAAATCCACTTTAAAATCCATCAGAAACTGAAACTGGAGTGAACTTCTCAGGTAAAGGTCATCTGAATTTTACTGTCAGCTTTTAACTATCTCCCTGCCAGTACGTGTGTTACTCCCGTTATTATCTGTCATTATGACCATTTGAGACTTTTTGTAAATATGACAACACCAGGACAATGTTCTTGACCACAAAGCTAAAAACATTTTTGGAGGAGACCCAAATATAATGTAAAAAAAGAGGATATTTTACAGTTTAAAAAGCCAGGGAAGTTTTATAAATAAAAAGGAAAATAAAAATATCTGGAAGATGTTTGAAAGAGAGAAAAATCATAGAAATCATAGAAAATGAGGGTTGGAAGGGACCTCAGGAGGTCATCTAGTCTAACACCCTGCTCAAGGCAGGACCACCCCCAACTAGATCATCCCAGCCAAGGCTTTGTCTAGCTGGGTCTTAAAAACTTCCAAGAATCGAGCTTCCACCACCTCTCTGGGTAACCTCTTCCAGTGCTTTGCTACCCTCCTAGTAAGAAAATTCTTCCTAATATCTAACCTAAACTTCCCTTGCTGCAACTTGAGACCATTGCTCGTTGTTCTGGTATCTGCCACCACTGAGAACAGTCCAGCCCCATCCTTTTTCAAACCCCACTTCAGGTAGTTGAAGTCTGCCATTGAATCCCCCCTCAGTCTCCTTTTCTCTAGACTAAATAAATCCAGTTCCCTCAGCTTGTCCTCATAAGTCATGTCCCTCAGCCCCCCCACCATTTTTGTTGCCCTCCACTGGACTGTCTCCAATTTGTCCACATCCTTTCTGTAGTGGGTGCCCAAAATTTAAGACAGTACTCCAGATGTGGCCTCACCAGTGCTGAACAGAGGGGAATAATCACTTTTCTTGACCTGCTGGCAGCACTCCTACCGATGCAGCCCTGTATGTCATTAGCCTTCTTAGCAACAAGGGCACACTGCTGGCTCATATTAATCTTATCTTCCACTGTAACCCACAGGTCCTTTTCTGCAGAGCTGCTGCCCAGTCAGTCAGCCCCCAGCCTGTCCTGGTGCATGGGATTGTTCTGTCCTAAGTGCTTAGATCAGACAGTTTAGGATTTTCCCATGGCATGGGTGACTCAAATTCCTTCCCTGGTTACTCATGAAAACAACTTCAAAGCATGTGTTTAGCTGACTGTTTGATTTTATTTTCACTGATTTAAAGCTGAAACAACTCTGTTGAACTCAGTGGAGCTAAGCCCAGTCTACTTATCCATTTTAAAAAATGTACTTTTTTCTAATTCTCTTTGGGCTGACAGGTATGAACATGATTGTGGAAAATGACAGGTTATTGGGATGTTTGTTTCCTCATCAGTTTGAGTTTGTGCGCTGATTACACTGAGCTTCTAATGTAACTGAATCCAAAATGTCAGATTATTTCTTCTCACTGACATGAGTTTTAACAAAGCTGTCCCACTCCTGACTTCAAAAGCTTGGATCAGAAATGGACAGAACTTGCTTTGTATGTTGTAAGCTGGAGTTTTAAATTCAGTGCTGGGGAATTTTTTAATTGTATCATTTGTTAAATTCCTCATAAGTCTCAGATAATAAAATAGTAGGGGTTAAGTTCCAGGCTAACCTCTATTAAAAAGTAGTGCTATTACACTGTAATTCACCCAGAGGTAAATTGTGAAATTAATGATCCCTTCTAATGGGCAAGGAAGTACAGAGTGGCATAGCCACAAACACAGTGCTGGAAATGTTCTGTGTCTTGGAACACAAACAGAATGCCTCCTAGGGTTGGAAAGTTAAAAACCAATAATGCGCCCTTTAAAATGATGTGGTGTGCACTCCTCCAGTGCCAGTCTTAGATGCCGTCTGCTCCATTCAGGTCAGCCTTGCCCTTGTGAGATGATTAGTAGCCCTGATGGTACATATCCATTGTTTGCAACAAGGAACTAGGGCGCTCGGATTCTAGGTTGTGTAGGCACTATTCAGCATTTGCATTAAGCAATGCCTTTTTTTAACCAGAGGCTTTACATTTTGAGGTTATGTTCAATGGAACAAAAGGGAGTTTTGAATGTGACTTCTGTCACTGGCGCAAAAAGTCGACAACTTCATAGGTTTCTATTGATCAGCACCATTGATCTCTGCTGCCTCTAGTTACTGCTGTTCTTCTGCAATTTATTAGCACTGATACCTGAAATTGTATATCATAAGCCAACTTCTGCTGTCAGAAACAGAGTGTAGAGCTGGGCCCTCTAGCATTAAATGAGGTTTTCCAGTTTGAATGAGTCTTTGCATAATCTCCTATTATATGCTTTTGTTATTTCTCTGGTGTCATAGATGTATGCTGGGCCTTACAAATACTTAAATCTTATAAATTCAGAATTCTAATATTATAAAAGCCTATGTCTGTCTGTCTGTCTGTCTGTCCATAACGCGTCATTGGTGCTCTGATTGTCTGCTCCCTGCAGGTAATGGGGGGGGGGGGGCGGGCCCAATGCGGGGGGCAGGGCAGTGGGCTCAGACCCCAAGCAGCAGGAGGGAAGGGGGAGTGGTCCCGGACAGGGGCAGGGGCACCTGGGACTCTGTCCCTGCCCACTTCTCCCCCTGCCCCTCATCATTCTTGACAAGTAATTGGCTAGTACAGAATAAAATGGTAGTAGCATAACTAGGGCAGGGTGACTAGAACAGTAGCCCTGGGTATTTGGCGGGGGGGGGGAAGATGCATAAAAATGGCACCCGATGCAGTTGCTGTCTGAATGCACCACTGGAACCAGCATTCAGGAGCTGCTGCTGCCCTGAAAGCTATGCTGCCCTGTTATGCCTCTGCACGACAGAGTCCTTGCTCTGAGGATTTTATGAAGGGCATAAAAGGGTGCTTTGTGGCTAGCTGAGAAAGCAATAAAATATCTATTCAGGTTTCACAGGTGTAATCCCAAAGATTTATGTAGGATTTTTGCTACTATAATCCAAAGAGAAGCTTCACTCAAGGAGTGATATATGGGCGTTCTGGGCCAAAATTTTAGGTGGTGTAAATCAGGGTTGTCCCATTGATTTGTAACATGATGATTTTCACCAGAGGGCTCCCTGACCATACAGGTGGTAGGTGGATCCAGGTTTTCGGGACTGACTTGAACAAGCAGATGGTGGATGCTTGGTGGAGCATTAGTGGCTAATTATCAGGTTGATCCTCGTGATGCACAGGAAATAAGCTGAAAGCTAGGAGCAGGTAGAACATCCAAAAAGGATCAGTTAGTGAAGTACCAAAGACCATCTCACAGTCAAAACTTTACCTCTTTTAGCCGTGAGTTGTAACTAAGGAGAAAAATCCTTCATGTTAAACGTTCAAATTAGTTTCACCCTTGCCTCCTTTCTGGTTACATTTGTCTCTTCTTTGGTGCACATTTATTTGCCACAGTGTCACAAATTCATTTTCCTCTCAGTTCCCCTGTCTGAAAGAACACATTCCTGCAAAGTCTAGCGTTCAGATACACACTGCAGGAAAGAATGTGTGCAATCCTCAAAAGTAACACATTATTATTCTTTTCCACCCTCTCTTGCTGCTGCAGTCCATGCCCAGTTTTCACAAGAGGAGCAAAAAACGGAATATGATGATCTGTCTATCCAGCAGCGACAAGACAGTAAGTGATTTTGCTATGCTTTATATCTTTATTGAATAGCTAAATCCAGTTAATAGTGCCTTAAAAACTCAGCACTTCAGACACAGCATGACTAAAGTGCGCTGTACCTTTAAATAAAGAGGAAGGAAGCTCCCATTGTGAGCAATGCTCAGACTTTTTGCATTAATGCTGAAGTGCCAAATCCTCACCTGGTATTAATTGATAAAATTCCATTGAACTAAATGTGCTTGTACTGATTTCCAACAGCTGAGGATCTAGCTCATTGACACGAAACAGGTATCTAATCTATAGTTTTTATAATGTGTACATAAGGTATATCTACAAGTGTGCTTTATGTGGGTGGGTTTGTTTACACATGTATCACAAAGATAGATCATAGCCGGTAATAAAAAATGCATTTTCTTCATTCTACTGAGATAACTGGCTCGCTCATGAAAGGCAGCAGAAGTCCAGTGGCATAAGCACCACAGGTATTTAGGATGGCTTCTACAGACATGCCTATAACATGCATTGTACCACTTACTGAAACATAGTGGTTATGTATAGTAGGATTGGTGGAGAAGGGGGTTCCATTGGCCTTCAGTATAACAAAGATGACAAAAAAAAGTTGTATACATTTTCTGAAAAGCTCTCATTGGTATTTTTCTACAATAAATTCCTTACAATGTAACTTATCTGATCAGCCTGTAGTAGACTAGGAATGTGGTTGTAGCCATGATGGTCCAGGAAACATGAGAGAAGCAAGGGTTTTTTGGTGATATCTTTTAATAGACAGGCTGTATAGCTGGGAGAAAATGTTAGACAAGCTTTGGGGCACAAAATGCCCTTCATTGTTTTATCTGGTCTTCATTGTTTTATCTGGTCTGTTCTTGCTTCTTCCCCAGACCGGAAGAAGGGTCCTTTATGCCCCAAACTTTGCCTAACATTCTCTCCCAGCTGTACAGAGGGTCCAATAAAAGTTCTCACAAAAAGCCCTTGCTAATTAATCTGAAAATTTGAACTTCTAGCCTAAGTAACCCTGCTAGTCATAGTGACACAAAGCTGAACATAGACAAATTGAACTAGACATGTGTTACAAATTATTAACAGCAAGTGTAATTAGCCACTGCAGCAATTTATCAAGAGTGGTGGCACATTCTCTCTTCCTTGAAAAATCAAGGATGATTGCCTTTCTAAAAGAGTTGTTCATTTCCTTCACATATTTTTAGTTAGTTAGGAAATCATCAGGTGAAACTGTGTTCTGAGGAAGTCAGACTACATGATCATAATGGCTCTAGTGGCTGCAACTACAATGAGGTTTCTGCAGCTGGTGTTGAGGAACAATAGTGCAGCTCTCAGGATTGCCTATCCCTTTCATTACTAAAACCAAAGAAACCCTCATAGGATTGAACAGGAAAAGCCGAGGGCCCAATCCTGGCTATGGGAGACCTTGGGTGGAAAAGCACTATGAACATAATGAAGAAGTTGTAGAATTTTACAAAAGCTTATTCCATTTTCCTGAAGAGTATGTGTGTGTGTGTGTCCATGGGTGTGTGTAGGCCTTCAGCAGAAATGATACAGAGAAAGTTTAGCAGTAGTTTCTCAACATCAACCATGGCAATCACTGACACGAAGAAGGTTTGAAGCAATGATATTAAGAATCCCTTGGAAGCTTTTCAATAAAATGGTACTATCAGGAAAAAAACATCACTAATGTGATAGGAAGATTTGTCTCTATGTCTGCTACCTGATATATTAAGTCTTTCATTTTAAAAAATTACAATTTTATTTCTTTTTCTTAGATTTTTCTGCTTCAGTTACCAGACCCCCAGAAGTGACTATCATCCCACCATTGGGAAAGACACTGGCAGTAAAGTGTAAGTTGAACAACTATTATTGTATAAGGTTCTGCAGTCATATAACTTAGAAGAGTAAAAGGAGAGAAGAAGTAGAGTGATTTTTCTCTGAGGACAGGGCCAAGATTAAAGATAGTCTAAGTTGAAAGATGAAATGATACTCTCCCTAAGCGACAGGGCCAGGGAAAAGGTAAAATGCATATTTGGGATGTGCCAAGCAAGGTATTTCCAGTTGAGATAAGGAAGTATCAGTGCCTTTATACAAGGGCCTGGTGAGACTATGGGTTTAGTCAAGGTGATTGTACTTGATGACTCACAGTGTCTGATCCCTAGGTTTATAAGTAATAAAGAGATGGTTAGACAAAAAAAATAGGCAGCCTGAATGAACAATAGATGGCCAAAGAAATAAACAATCAAAGGAAAAAGCAAACAGAGAATGGATTGTTTGGGACAATAGATGCTACATGCCAAGAATATGACTAGACAATGGATGAACAAATGAGCGTGTACTGGAATTTTTAGTAGAGCCTGATAGCTTATTTTTAATCTACAGCTGGCAACCCAGCTCACACTGGCCGAGTATGCAGTACCTGGGGAAACTTCCACTTCAAGACCTTTGATGGAGACATCTTCCAGTTCCCTGGGCTCTGCAACTATATCTTTGCATCAAACTGTAAAGCCAGCTATGAGGACTTCAACATCCAGATCAGACGCTCCGTAATAGAAAACACCACCCTCATTAGCCATGTCAGCCTGAAGCTGGATGGAGTGGCCATAGAACTGACCAGGAACACCACAGTGGTTAATGGCAACCCGTAAGTTCAGACATTGTATTATGTGCTCAAATTGGTACTATAGCTATTGTCCCTCACTGTCTGTTAGAAAGGGTACCTATTTCAATCTCATCCCTTTGAGATGCTCTAAAATGACTTTGGGGGTTTGGGCATTCTTGGAGCATCAGAATAATCAGGGGGTGCAGCAGCTAGCTTTTTTCCATCTTTATACAGTACTCTCTGACCTGTGCTTTGTGAAGTTTGGCTGCACCTTGGGCCCCACATTACTGTTCTGATTTATACATACCTATATCTAGAGGCTTGAATTAAAGCCAGAATAAAAAAAAGATGAAATAAGATGCCTAAATAAATTGAAGATCAGGAGCAACAGAAGCCCCACATTACAGTCTCAAGAGACAATCGATAAAGAAATCAACAACAGACAGCACGTGCTCTCAGGAAATGAATTTAAAGGTTTGCTGCCTGAAGGATGCCAGAGGAGTGAATGTGGAAAGGGAGCTCTTGCAGAGATTTGGGACGTTTATTAAAGAATGCTTTTCATCCTGCCCATTCACAGCAGTATCTGGAGTTGGTCAACAAACTCCACACTGTTATCTCAACTCATCTACTGTTAGGAGAGGACACATCAATGCTGCAGTCATTGTACTGATGGCAGTCCAGGAAGACATCTGTTCCTCAGTTGCTTTTGGAGATCCAAAATGCACTTAAGCTAGCTACCCAGCTTCTTGGAAAGGTTTCTCAGCCCATGCTGAGCTTCTTGCTGCTGCAACTATTCTGCTAGCAGCACCTGAGGTGGTTAATTTAAAGTTAGCTCACACATGTCTACACAAGATGCAGATACTGCTATGCCTGCAGTGTAGATGTATCTCTACTTGCAATCCAAAACAAAAGCCATCAGAAATTCTCTTTAGGGAGACTAATCTTATGTTTTATAAGACTTGAACTAGTAATAGTAATGCCTTGAAGTGTACTTGATTGAAAACAGACAGCCATAGTGTTTTTGAATTATGTCACCTAATTAACAGATCAGCATTTTAGGTGCTAAAACATCATTCACAAATTTATTGAAAAGCAATGGACTAAAAATATAACACTGGTCCTACTGCACTTTGGAGAGCAAACGCATAGGAAATCATCCACCCCATCACCAAGGCTTTCTAAACCTCACATGGCCCATATTTGGCAAGTGCTATTACTAGCAATTTCCTTAGCCAGCCACATTAAACATGTCTCAGAAAGAGAGAAAGAATGTCAAATGCTGCACTCTCCATTGAACTTCACTTTGATCTCTCTCCAGGGTGCAGCTGCCTTTCAGCCAGTCAGGAATCCTGATGCAGAGAAGTAACATGTACTTGAAAATCTCGGCCAAGTTGGGCCTGGAGTTCATGTGGAATGAAGAGGATGCACTCCTGGTAAGATGTCCAGATGTTGCATGTGCTTGAAAGATTTCATTTAATGTCTTCTTAGCCTATCTGCTTAGGGATTAGCTCTTTTGGGATGTTATCCATCTCCAGGGTGTATGTTCCCCTACTATGCTCTCCTATTTCTCTTTGCCTCCCAGAGCTCTGCTAATAACCACCATTCTCCCCAAACTATTAAAAGAGTCTGTTAATGAAGCTCAATATGCTTCCGATACTAGATACACCCCTGCTGTGATGTTCAGTGCCCCTGAGCCCAGGTTCCCAGACAGACCAGAATTCCTCTCCTGAAATCATGGGGGGTGAGCACAGGGAGCCATGAAAAAATTAGGTCACGGGTCTAGGACTGGCATCTTTTGGTAACCAAGCTATGTGAAGAATAGATATACATTAGCTTCCATGCAAATGACACTTATATCCAATACACTCTGTTTTCTTGCATATCACACAGCCTGAAATAATACACACACCTTGTTTCAGGAAGCCAGGTTGAAAAGGGGGGAAAATGTTTCCAGAGTCTTGGCTGAGTGCTGGCTGCATGGAAAAGGGACAGAGTTCACTCTTCAGTGTCATTTACCATCCCATTGCTGCTCAGCCAAAAGCTAGTGGTTTAACCTTGTCACAGTCCCTGTGGCATTTCCTCAGACAAAAGCTACTTCCAATGTGACAGTGGCGGTGCCAGGGGAGAACCACTAGCTTTTGACTGAGCAGGAAGGGGAGAGTGAATAACGCAGAAGAAAAGACTCTGCCCCTGCTGCACGCGGTCAGAAGGGAACACAGACTCTGGCAGCCATTCCAGCTTCCCCATGCCTCCGTTCTAGTGCAGAAATCAATGTCTTCACTTAAGATGCTCACCTTAATGTTGGATAGTTAGCTATGTAGTTAATGTGAAATAGGACTACAGTGACTGATAGTTAAATATTCATTAGAACAGACACTAGAGCTCAGGTATTCCACCTCCTGGGTAAGCAGATCAAGCACCAGAATGCAGATCTGTATTCTCAATTGTTCTCTGTGTCACTGAATATTTAAGGAGGAACAACTTCAAAAAAGAAAAAAACTGAGATACCCTATCCAGAATACCTGATAGATTGAGAGTTGGGCCCTCTCCCAGGAAGTGAGAGTGGGGTAAACACCTGCAAGCAGAGGAAGGTACCGAACCTGGGTCTCCAAGTATTCTGGGTTAGAGACCTAACCAGCGGGTTATTGTGAAAAAGGAAACCCCCCCACCAGCAATTTTTCTGAATCTAGTCCTGTTTTTTCCCCAGCTGAAACTATTCAACACATCTGGACTGAATTCACAAGCAGCTTGATGATGACCTAAACTGCAATTTTTGTCAAATAAACTACTGAAAAAATTCTCTTAGTCTAGCTAAATATCAGAACTTTATATAGTTTCTCAATGAATGTAAGAGACAAGGAGATTAGAAAATATTATATTGGAATTTAGAGCTGGGTATGTGCCCTGGATTATAACTATATTTTAAACTCTGTTTTCTTATTCCCTTTAGGTGGAACTGCATGAGAAATATGCTAATCAGACCTGTGGGCTTTGCGGGGACTTCAATGGGATTTCAACCTACAATGAGTTTGTGTCCAACAGTACGTAACAAAAACATCATTAAGCTGTGGCTGTTTATTTTTCTTTCCTTTAATCATATTAATTACATGTAGAATGGGGCACTGATCTGTAAATGGGTTGTGAAACTGCAGAGATGTTTATTTTGGCATGTATTTTTTGATGATGTTAGATTGAATACTTACATAGCACATGTAGAATATATGAATAGCATCTGAATTTTTCCCCTGAGAGGACCTCTTTTAAGAGCTGCTAATAGCAACGTTCTGTTCCTTTCCTTATATAGACACTAATCACATATGAATTATTCACACTTTTCATCTCCCATTCTATTTGTGGTGATTGCTACTGATGCTGTGCCAGTGCTTCAAGCACAGACATCTGTGTTCAAAATTAGAACTGCATTTTTAAAGACAGCAAAAACACCATTATAACCATTTTTCATACCACTTATTACAGATATTGAGCTGACCCCTTTACAGTTTGGGAATTTGCAGAAGCTGGATGGACCCACAGAGCAATGCGAGGATCCAGTACCTTTTGAAACTCCTGCAAACTGCACAAGTGAATTTGTAAGGATATGTTCCCTTCTCATTTATTAAGGGGCTTGCTTGGGAGAAATCTGGGAAGAATAGAAAAATATAACGTGTGAAAACAAAGAGAATGACATGTCCTTGAAATAAAATATGAAAATATCTAAATTTAAAAAAATAGCTTTTTGACTTTCATAAACTCCCTTGTTTTAACCAGTATTTCCCCTTCTAGAATGCTATATGCCAAGCAGTACTGACAGGTGAAGCCTTTGTAAGCTGTAATGAACTAGTTAACGTTCAAGAGTATATCAGCTCCTGCATACAAGACTTGTGCCACTGTGACAATCTAATGGCTGAATCCTGCATGTGTAACACCTTTGCTGAATACTCCCGGCAATGTGCCCATGCTGGTGGGGAACCTCTGAATTGGAGAACTGCAGGACTCTGCAGTAAGTATCTTAGGAAATGATTTTCACCCTTGCTTTAAAGAAGCCATCAAGCCATTCCAAAAATGTTAAATGCACCCCCCCCCCAACCTGTACAGACTCATAGGAGTCCCAAATATAGAGAGTGTATTGGAGGCAGGAATTAAAATCTTTAAATGTGAAGACATTAACATGGGGTTCTAATATTTTGGATGAGGAATCCTCATTGCCTTTCAAGTAATGCATTATTAGTTATAGATGCTGCCTCTCCAAATTTTAAATGCAGACAATCCAATACTAGACAATTCAAGCCTTCATTAAAAATGCTACTTCCCTTTATCTATTTGCAGCCAAATCATGCCCTTTCAACATGCAGTACCAGGAGTGTGGCTCCCCCTGTCCAGACACCTGCACCAACCCTGAAAGATCTCAGCTCTGTGAAGACCACTGTACAGATGCCTGTCTTTGTCCTCCAGGCAAGTTGCTACCTTGGCTCACTTTTCTCTTCAACACCACCAAAACACTTATGTATACAGGTTCAGCCGTTCTCCTAAAGTGAGCTGAACCTTTACTGCAGCTAAAGCAACATCTGTGTTTTCTCTTGATACATGTGCATAATTTCTACCCATGTCAATAGAAAAACTCTTTCAAATAGGAGGAGTTTGCTTAAGACATACATGTGACATGCAGGAAGTGGTTGAAATTAATACATGACAGGGAGCTGTCTAAACCTGGCAGCTTCCCCAGCCACTATTTATAAAACATTTAATCATCTTTTACCCACAAAAATGTTTCCTGGTATTAGCAAAGTTGAGTCTTATTCTACAGGAGGATCTATATTGTCTGTGGTGTGCTGACCACTCCCATCGCTCTCTTTAACCAAGGGAAACTAAGTGGGCACTCACCAGTTTAAGTTTGTAAAACTTATGCGTTACATATAGATGCCAATGCTTAAATGGCTAGTAAATGCCAACAAACTGAGTTCTGGTGTCCAGAAATTTTGCTAACTGGTGAATTTGTAGGATGAGTCTTCTGCTAGGCAGCATCTCCTATAGCTATTCTTCTGGCCCTGTTATTGCATGATCACATGTGGTATACCCTTGCTGCAAAATGTAGCCATAACTTGCCAGAATAAAATTATTGTCCCTAACATTACTTTCTCTCTTACATGTATAATGATACAAAAGAGATCTTAGCTTTACTCAGTTACCTGCTGTTACCCTGTCCCTTGGCCACTCAGTTTAGTGAAGCCTTATTGCAATGGTTCTTTCCTGATTAGCATATAACAAAGGAGCCCTAGGATTGTAGCTAGTGCTGAGTTGGTTACATAGTCCAGGGCTGTACAGCTGATAGCCTGTGGGCTGATGCAGCCCATGAGGAGTTAAGCTGCAGCCCCTTAGCTGATCCCCCAATTGCTCTAGCTGCAGAAGCAGCTGAGGAGTCCAGGCTCCCCCTCCCTTTTCCCAGGGGAAAGGACACTGCAGTGTGCAGCATAGGGAATGGAGGGTGAGTCCAGGGCTTTGCATGGTGCAGCAGTAGGGGTAACCATGTGGCACATGGGCCAGGGGACTCTGACTCACCCTGGTATGGTCCATGTGGTGTGCAGCACTTTCTGATGTGGTCCATTGGGCATGTGGCCCCCCAACTGCTTGGAAACTGGACAGCCCTGACATTGTCCAAACAATGTAGAGATTCCATTGTCAAGATTTTTTTTTCCATTTCTCTGCTCTAAAAAAGACATGCAACATGTTTTAGAATGTCTCCCAAAGAAATGTTCCAAAGCAGCTTGTGGAAAGCACAGCAAAATGAACATACTGTTTCTTCCTTTAGGAACTGTGTATGATGATATTAACAACAGTGGATGTATCCCCCTCGAACAATGCTACTGCACCTACAAAGGTGAAACATATGCTCCAGGGGCCAAATTTACATCCACATGCACTTCCTGGTAAGTCATTGCTTTTGTCAAATCTTTGCCTTTTTGTGCATTACCTAATAATTGCTGGCTGCGGGGGACAAGTCATTGGTTACATAGTATTTGGGAAAGAGGGTATACACTAATCTAAACATTCTGATATAATGGTTTTATAAAAATTGTTCTTCTCTAGTTCCTGTTTCTAGAGAACAAACACCTGAATTTAGACAAGGATGTCCTGGTAAGGACAAGTCAACAAGGCCAGTCATTAGAGGCTTAAATCAGCACTTAAAAATATAAACAACCATATCGTGGGTCTCATACATGCCTTGGAGCACTCAGGTCTGAAATGTTAATGTTCTCTATGTGTGCTATTTGAAATTTAGAGATATGCTAAATAAAGGAATATACAGAGAGGGACAGATTGCATGCTAATGTGTTAACAACCTCTGCATGTATATTACTGGCTCCCCTAGAGTAAATAAAATATAATTACTTCAGTATTTGTGAATGTGTATGTATATGAACAAAAATCTACCAAGTCTCTCTTGTTTGTAAACTACTTTGACTCAAGATAATGAAGCCAAGATGCGAAATTCAGCAGGGGAAACTTCCAGGTATCCAATAGAGCTGCTCCTATTTTCACCAGGGCTGAAGGATTAGCTCCAAGGATTTTCAGTGAGGCAGATATACCCTTCCCTTTTTTGGAGTTTTCAAAGCAATATCAATTAATCATTTATCTGTATACTGTTCTTTTCCCTTAAAGAACCTATGACGAAAAGTAGGAGAAAATGAAGGTGTCATGGATTCCCATCTTCTTTAGTTTCCTTTGTGTTTTTATGAACCAGGTTTAATCAGCATGTCTTCATTTATTTTAGCACATGTACTGAAGGCCAGTGGGTTTGTGTCAGCCTTTCATGCCCTGGGACATGTAGTATTGAAGGAGGGTCCCACATCTCCACATTTGATGAGAAACGTTTCACTTTCTTTGGAGACTGTAACTATGTACTGACAAAGGTAAATAGGAATCACCTTTTCTGCTGACATAATATATTGACATAATATATAATAGGATGCTATTTAATTAATGCTATCAGTAGGTGCATTACGTTTTGGTTCCTAACTTGACAACAGGGTTCAGGTCTATGAATGCCAAGGGGAGAGTGGTACCTCTCTGCAGAGCAGAGTAGGATACCTAAGTTCCAGAGAGGGGGAAGGATTTAGAACATATCTATCCTCCATTGTACAGGGTACTTAGGTATCACACTTGGATGTTACAAATTTCACTAGATCGCGAAGCACCTAAAATGTAGGGACTATCGTGCTCAGCATTAGGAATCTCAAGTCCCTTCTATGGCTCTATACTGTAATGTCAAAGTTAGCTGATATGTTTTATAGTGTTACACATATTTATGTCATCTTACTGCAGTGAGTGTGTGTATGTGTGAGAGAGAATGCGTGTGTGCCTGCATGCTTGTGAGAGAAGGAATCAGCAAAGATTAAAATGACCATTATATCTTGAATGCCATTTGATACTAATGACTTTTTATTCAGTAGCCTTTTGGTTTCTCTTTTTTCAGCTTTGTGACAGTAATGACTTCACTGTCCTGGGAGAAATCCGTAAATGTGGCCTAACTGACACTGAGACATGCTTGAAAGGGGTAACCATAAGTGTTGGTGGAGGACAAAATGTAAGCAGTGAAAACAGATGCCTAGCCTTGTGTTTGAATATTTTTTAAATTGATGACTTTCGCATGATGCTATGTTGCCGTAATGACACACTACAATAACATAGTTTTGGGGTGCACAAACCATGATGCCGATGCTACATCGCCAAAGCGATGAGCTCTCTCGTTATAGCGTGATGCTACAGTGACATAGATGCTAACAATAACCATGTACCACTGGGACAGCACAGTAACAGCTGTTACTATGCTGTCATTTAGTACTTCCTAAAGCAAGTACTAAATGATGGCACGGTAACAACTGCACCATAAGAGGCAAGTGTAGACATGCCCTGTGGGTTGGCTAAAATTGAAAAATCAGAGACAAATCTTTGTGCTCTGTATCTTGTAAAAATACTTTATAGATTGCAGATTTGACTAATCACAATTTATGTTCCCAATGAAATATGAAATATGTTAGGCTTTATGTTGTGTCTAGATGGAATAATATTTTCTACAAGAGTCTATCTCCTAAACCAGTGGAAGAACAGTTTGCAAAAGATAGGCACACAAGAAAAGAACAATACACATAGGAAATCAGCAAATAAGTTTAGACCATAGTGTGGATAATGGAAGTCAGTCAATGTAAGACAACAGTATTTTACTTAGTTTTTTCTAAATAATCAGTGGGAAGCAATTTTTTAAAAAAAGGATGTTTGTGCTGAAAATATGATTTTCACAGTCCCACATGTCCCATATTTTTATTTACCTTGGACAATACTGGAGGTAAAGTCTTTGAAAAGTGCTGTGCAGTCCCTAAGTTTGCCTGCCAATCCCCATTTTTTCTTTTGGACAGATCATTGCAATCAAATCTTCTGGCAGTGTCTTTGTGAACACGATCTACACCCAGGTGCCCTTCTCTGCAGGTATGTCTCTTTGGAAGTTATTCAAGGCATTCTTGGATTTTACTTGCCTGAGTGTACTGCTTCATCAAAAGCCAAATTTTGTTCTCAGTTAGACTGGAGCAAATCCAATGAACCCCCTAACAGAATTTAATTAAAAAACAAGAGAATTAAATCTTTGCTTACCCAGCATTTTTTATTCTTTGTGAGGTTAGAATATGGCTCTGTAAGCAGTACAGAATATCTTCAATTCAGTCCCATAACAATACTTTGCTACTCTAAGACCCAAGTAGTACTGTGGGTATGTCTAGATGTTACACTTAAATCTACCTAAAGCCAATCTATACAGAGGTTCAGGGAGGTTACATTGAGCAAAAACTGGTGGGCCTGATCTATACTAGTTCTCCTAAGGAGTTGAACTAGCTTACATCAGGGATGGGTTAACCCAGTCTACCAAATGTTTGAACACTGAAAGCCAAAGCTGCTCACCCCAGCCCCAGGACTGTGCTCTTCCTACTTTCCCTCCTTCCCACCAGCCCTGACTGGGCCATTTTTAGCTCCAAGCCTGTCCTACCATCAGACAGACAGCATCCCGCCCCAGTCCACCAATCACCACCCCCCGCACCACACACACCGCAGACCCACTATCTCCCTCCAACCCACCCACCCCTCCTGCCACCCTGAGTTACTTTTACCAGATTCCTAGTGCAGCTCCCAGGACTGGCAAATACCTTCACATGCCAATCCAAATCTATGATCATGCAGCTTAAAGTAAGCTGTGTGGTCATAGACTGGATGCGGTGAATGTCTACATGTACACTGTGTGAGTAAAAGCAAACTCCTGGTGTATAATGTGACCCAAACACCAGACCTCCAAACTGCTATGCTATTCAGTTGGCCTGTATTTCTTCTGCCTATTTTCATGAACCTTGGTTGTGAACACAAAACCTTCACTCTACACAGATCTCCTTAGTTCCCACCTTACATGCACAGGAAGTATAAACATCATACATATATGGGGCATTTCCAGACTGAATCCTAGGATAAAATCCTGCTAAATAATTCTTACAGAGCAAAGGTCTATTTGTAGATCAATTCAGAAGTTCATGTTCTTCCCTTGCTCCAAAGAAATTTAAAAACTAGAGAAGGCTATTATCTAGGACAAGGAAAAGTTAACATTGTACTGAACTTTGGACAGGATTTCTTATCAGTTCAGATGAATACAATGTGCAGTAAAGGCCTACTCCAAGGAAAATCCTCATCCTTAATGTTGGTAATTTTTTATCCAATATGTAAATGTGTTTATTGTGTTCTTTGTCCACAGCCAATTGCACCATCTTCAAGCCGTCATCATTTTACATGATTGTACATACAAACTATGGTCTTCAACTAAAGATCCAGCTTGTACCCATCATGCAACTGTATATAAATGTGGAACCAGCCCACAAAGGGCTGACATGTGGTGAGTAGACTTAGTATAACTAGTTTCTCCTATTCATTGAAATTGTACATGGTCTGATACGAGACGATCAAACCCTGTTTGCTTCTTCCCCTCCCTTTCCCCCAAGGTCTCTGTGGAAATTTCAACAATATACAGGCAGATGACTTCAAAGCCGCAAGTGGTGTAATTGAAGGAACATCAGCTGCTTTTGCCAACACCTGGAAAACCCAGGCAGATTGTCCTAATGTCAAAAACAACTTTGAGAACCCCTGCACTCTCAGCATAGAAAATGGTATGTTTGTTATAATAATACACTTTAATGTGTGTCTTGTAATTAAAAAATAAATAAAACTGGAAAAAGACAAGAAATAAGAATTCAGATTAAAATTTCAGAACAGGCAACTCTGTAGACTGGACAACCAGTTGAGGAACACTTATATGGCCTTCATCCAACAAGGTTTTCAACCGCTTTATCTAAACTGTTTAACTTCCACCAGTGCATTTGAACACATGTATGCACCCTCTGCATCTGTCCCGATGAACACACACATCCAGGGGTGCCCATTTACCATGAGACAAATAGCAGGGGCACATATTTGTGCGTCTGCTATTTGTCTATGGGCATGATCCTGCACACATGTTCCAGCACATGGCAAAGTGACCAAGATGAAGTAGAGGAGGCTGGGGCCAGTGCTGGCCCCAGCAACCTGATGTGGGGTCCTGGGAGCTTCCAGGGGCAGCACCAGTGCCAATCTAGCCACTTGGAGTCTGGCTGGAAGTCAGAGCATGGCTCTGGCTAGCCAAGCTCCAGTTTCTGGCAGCACATGCTGTTGCTGCATGCACTGCACTGGTCTTTTTGGCAGCAGTTTTCTTTTTGACACCAAGATTTCCCACTGTCAAAAAAACAGCATGGCAAATGGGTGTACATGCGCTGCACACGATTGGCAGTGTCTTGAACGGGTTTGAGGTGCCACAAACCGCATGTGCACATTCGTCGGGACATGCCCTCTGGTGCTGATGTGAACTGAAGAATTGTAATGCAATGGCAACCTCCTTTTCTAAAATACAAGTTTGCTTAAGCAAAGTCACCATTATGTTTGAGATTCACTCAGTTGATATTATGTTCAGGTATCAGTAAAGAGAACAGGGGCATTTTTTTATTTCTTAAGAAATAGAGCCAAGTTCTTCTTTAAATTATGCTGCTACAGCTCCAACTGTGTTCAGTAAAGTTGAAAAGATGTAACTGAGAGGAGAATCCAGTCCATAAAATGACTCAAGTATTTATATCCCTTTCTGTATTTACAGAACAATATGCTCAGCACTGGTGTGGATTGCTTACTGCCACCACTGGATCCTTTGCCAAGTGCCACTCAACAGTGAATCCAGATGCTTACTATGTGGTAATTGCTAGTTGTTTCTTTCCACTTTAAAAATAATACCAATCAGAGTTTATTTCCTGATTACAACCACCAAAAGAACAATTTGCTAAACAAGAAGATCTGGTTTATATTTCTGATTTACTCCTGACAGGTTTCTCAGGCCACAATAAAGTTTACTTTAATCTCTGTATCATATCATCTACTCCTTTAACTAGGTACCTTTCTTTCCACTTGTTTGTTTCACTGAGTATGTCACACCAGACTGGTTATAAATTAATCATGTAAATAGTAAAGAAAGAGGAATAAAAATATATTTGGGTAATCAAATAGTTTTACTACCTGGCAAAGGACTTTGATGGTCTTTGTAGGTGTTCAAGGTAACTTCTCTTACAGGCAAATAATCACAATGTGCATGGCTGATACACTTTTAGATAAACTTGTCTAATATATATATATATATGCATAGATTTTATATATATGCATATATTTTATATATATATGTAAATGCATAGATATTAATGGGCTAAATTCTGCTGTAAGCAATAGTAATGAAATTCCAGAGCAACACTTGGTCCAAATTTGGATAAATCAAGGTAGAATTTGGCCACATAATACAATACAAGACTAGTTACTGCCAACTAATTTGGCATGTGAGTACAAAAACTTAAAGCATAGTTTCTTTGGATGGGTAGCTCCATGATTACTAATACATCTTACTTGCATTTCTAGAACTGTATGTTTGACAGCTGTAACTGTGAGAACAGTGAGGACTGCATGTGTGCGGCCCTCTCAACCTACGTCAAAGCCTGTGCTACCAAGGGAATCCAGCTGATCGGTTGGAGGGCTGGTGTCTGTAGTAAGTTTTACAGCTGTTCATTGCACGAAAAGAGATTAGCCAGTAGGTCCATTATACCACATTTCCAAGGACATCATGGTTCCCCTAGTACAATTTCAAACCAAGTTTGATGAAGGCCTAGCATCAACTCACTTCTATTTTGCAGGACCTTGAGGGAACAAAAAGTGAGAGATGTCATGTAAGAGATGCAGTAAGCAGGGAGATATTGGAGATGCTTTGTGAGACTAATGCCTGTTGGGAGGTAAAGGAAATACCAGGGATCTTGAGACTTTTACTGAAGTAGTACAGAATGACTGGATCACTTTCAAATACACTAGTATACTACCTTACTTCAAGGCAACGGGAAAGTAAACATACAGAAAAAAATAACCCATACAAATAAATGTAGGTTAGGTTACATTCTCATCTTAAATTGGAAGAAACTTATCAACATTGACAGAGATCACGAGTATAACCAAAATGATAATTTCAGAGGTAAATTTTACCATAGAAAATACAAATCATGTAAATTGCATTAGTGTGGATGTCACTACAGAATTTGAGCTATTTCATTTAAATCTATGTACATGCAGTGCCTATTTTATCATATATACCATATTTCAAGTCTGGCATGTGTGGCTGCATTGAAAGTAACTTGCCTTATTTTACTTTCTCAAGCAAAATACACAACCACGTGTCCCAAAACCCTGACATACAGCTACACTGTTGATTCCTGTGAACCCACTTGTCGGTCTCTGAGTGAGCCAGATATCACATGCAACATCCAGTTTGTTCCAGTTGATGGCTGTACCTGTGAAAAGGGAACCTACATGGATGAAAGTGGCAAATGTGTGCCTCCTTCTAGCTGCCCTTGTTACTACAAAGGATCTATTGTATCTTCTGGAGAAGTTGTTCATGACAATGGTGTTGTCTGGTAAGAGATTCTTAAGAAACAACAGGGTTGAATATTGGGAATTATGGAATTATGAAACCTTAGCCATTTTATGTGGCATATTCAATTCAAGTGAGTTTCCCTGCGTGCTTAACCAGTGTGATCAGTGTGAGCCAGGGCTTATGATATTTTAGAACTGTCCATGTTTAGTAGTTTTTCTTTAGTCCAGTCTTTAACTTCAATAAGACACATTTTCTGCTCAAACTTAGTCATTATAAAAAAAAAAAGGACTAACTTGATATTCCCTGGATTTAACATGAGGACTACTTCTGAGGACAACAGTAGTAAGGAAGATGTTATAGTATCATGATTTCATTTAGTCATATTGACTGGGTTGAGGCTGTTTTTGTGTGAGGCTTATTTGTTTTGTGCCATTGCAAAAATCATATCCAGAGAATACCAGACATTCTTTTGAAAGGACACTGTCTACCTCTGGCCACTGGGTAGCACTGCAGATATTCCAGATTCTTCAGGAAAGACCAGAAACCTGGCAAGATAGAAGCTCTCCATATAATTAGCTGGCCTTTCAAACAAAAGTCACTCCTTTCTCTTTCTACAGCTCTTGCACACGTGGCAAACTGAACTGTATTGGAGCCAAACCAGCACCAGGTAAACCCCCTTTTAAGCTTTTCTTTTATCCCCTCTACCGTCTTCATGTTTTTGAATTCTTTTCTTGCAATGGTGACAGAGATAAAAATCTGAAACAAAGCAAAAAAAAGCAACTGATTAGAAACTCTCAACACAGCAATTCTGTAGTACAGAGGGCATTATTCTTGGGAAGTAAAGAGTCATAATTCACCTTCTGGGACAGTAGAAATAAATATATTAGGAGGTAAAGGATATGTCAGATAATTCAGAACAAGATCACATTGGGTCTTAGTATTACATAAAAAAAGTAGAATGGCTGGTAGGAAGAAGAAAACAATCAGGTCCCAGAGAATAAAACACTGGAAAGCAGGGAGGTCACATATTGCACTTTTATATACAAGCACGATTCCAGCATACCACAGATGCCATTCTACATGTAACAGAAGAGAAAATATTAACATCCAACTATTGCTCTGAAGCCAGTGACTTATGCCAAACACTATATTTAATTATATTAATATTCAGGGTACTGTCTATATATTTTTAGTTCATCTATATATTTCATAGTACAGTAAAAGCTCTGTTATCCGGCATCCCCCAGGAATGGGGGATGATGGATAACAAAATATGCCAGTTAATTGAAAGGCCCTGGCTGCCACTTCTCCTGCCGTGTCCCTCCGTCCCTTCTGCCCCTGCCGCGGCATTGCCGCTCCTCCTGCAGGCTCTGCAGGCCCTGTGGGACAGGGAGGCAGGCCCCACACAGCCCCACGCAACCTGTTATGCCCCCGGGCTGTGGGGGCTCAGAGAAACTGGAAGTGCCATGGTGGGCACTTCTGGTTTCACTTTTCCTTACAAGCTGGCATGCCGGTTAACAGAGCATGCTGGCTTGTAAGGTGCCAGTTACCAGAGAGTTTACTGTACATTGATTGGGAGGTGCTAATTCAAGACATACAGCCTGATCCTACGCTTCCTACTCAAACAAAAATCCTATAGTATCAACTGGAGTTTGATTAAACAAGGACTCTGGGTCATTTATGCTTACAAGTGTTGTAATTACACATGCAAATAGCATGTTTTAACAATCTGGTGCCTAAATTAGGGCCTTGTTACACGTTACATGGTGAGCTGCTCAAATGTTGATGGCTGTTAGTGCTAGCTTGAGTTTGAAGCAATCACAAGTTCAGGTCAGCAGGTAAGAATCCCCCCACCCCGCCCCCACCTGGTCCCATTCCTAGCCCCTTGCCCTCTGGGGCTCCCCCAGTTCCCTCTCCATGCCTGCCCCCACCTCCTTGCCGCCACCACTACTGAGCTGCTGTACGTTTCTGTACTGCATCTGGCCCAGAGAGCAGAAGCAGTGGTAGCAGTGGAAGGGCAGGCAGATTAACCCTTCCCTACCTGCTCCCCTGGGACAGATAGCACAGGCAGCCACAAGCAAGTAGGGGTGGGAAGGGGAGGGGCAGTGAGCAGAGTACTGGTGAGAGCAGAGGGGTGGGCGATGGGCCCAATCTGGGACAGCAGGGGAGTGGATGGGCAGGGGGCAGGGGGAGTGGTGTTTACATTAATGTGTAGCCTAGTGGGGCTAACAGGGGTCAGAGATAAACCTAGGCTGGAGTGGTGTAACTTTAAGTTTCCCAAAGTTCTTAAAACTAGTTTTAGATGTTAATGTTTGGAAAAACCAGGGGTTAAGAGCTCCAGAAGCTGCCTAAGTTTAACATGTAACAACGTCCTTACAGAAGCAATCACAAAAGGATTAATTGGATTTTAATATAAATTCAATTAATTTTTTTTTACAATGTTTAAATGAAAAATGGATTTCATTATTATCAGTTAATAACAGCGAGGATTTTGTTTTCAAGTTTCTAACAATAACTGATGAGTTTCTATGTTTATTTATAATGCTAAATAAATGCCTATGTCCATTCACACAAATAATATGATTTCAGTGAAGATCTGAAATATTTAACAGAGCAAATCCAGATTATTTACTAACCACTGGATCTTTCTGATCATAGTGTGTTCCTTATCTTAACACTAAAAGCAGGGTTCTCTAGAAACACGTTCATACTGAATAATTACTATTGCAATAACTGATAGCATTATGCCAGACTTGCAATTCCTCACGGCCTTTTTGTTCAACAGCATGTAAATCTCCAATGGTCTACTTTAACTGCACCAACACCACTGCAGGTGTAACTGGAGCTGAGTGCCAGAAGAGCTGTCAGACTCTTGATATGGGATGCGTAAGTGTGGATATTTTATATCCGCTGGAACACATTTTCCTATCCTGACCAAAACTAAGTTTTTTGCTGCAGCAGTTGAATATGTCTCTTCCACTGACACCATTTATCAAATCATATTTTTCATATGGTTCTTACAGTACAGCACACAATGTCTCTCTGGCTGCATTTGTCCTGGCAATCTAGTGGCAGATGGGCAAGGTGCCTGCATACCTGCAGAAGAGTGTCCATGTGTTCACAATGAGAACTCCTACAAACCAGGGGAAACAATCAAAGTTGGCTGTAACACTTGGTAGGTATATGTTGGACATAAAACATATAAACTAAAACATAGAAGAATCTTTTTTTTTTGTAGCAATACTAAGGCTTATGGTACACATTTGAGTGGAAGTCACATTTCATTCACTAGAGCATTGATACAATGCATATAGCTACATACTATAATTTGGCTAGGAATGAAAGTTCAAGATGATTTGCTTATCAACTAATAACAAAATGAATGGTTATCATAAAAAGTGGGTTCTCTTCTTTTCATAGGCAAGCAGAACAAATTAGAATAGATAGGAAGCGGTCAGGAGAAGAGTGAACTTTAGATGCTATCATGTCCAATAGAGATGCACACTTGTACCCTCTTAATCTGTCTACAGTCCCTACATAGAATATACATCTCAAAAATTTCTAGGAGTTCTGAAAATGAAAATGTTTTAAAACCATTCATGGAATAATCAAGTCATTTAATATTTGGGCATGCCTGGGGTTCATCTGCTGTTTATACAGTGTTACAGTGCATTAGTGTTTAGAATAAGGAAATCTTATCTTTCCAATGCTGTTCATTAAGCACATACTTAAAGAACAGATGAATCTTAATTGAATACGCATCTACCTCTGTATTAGAAATGAAGCCATAAAAGTGTTTTGGTGGTAGTGGTGATTCCATTTTTACATTGGGACATCTGACTTTTTTCTTTAGCACATGTAAAAACAGACAGTGGCAATGCACCAATGAATCTTGTCTGGCAACCTGCACTGTTTATGGAGATGGGCATTACATCACTTTTGACAGCAAACGCTACAGCTTCAGTGGAGATTGTGAATACACACTGGTCCAGGTACTGAGCTTTCTTCCTTGGATTATTACAATAAGAAAGTACCTTGTGCTTGTACATATGGTGACTCCATTGCTAACAATGAATATCATTCCCCTCAGAACTACTGTGGTATGAACAACAGCAGCCAGGGAGGAACGTTCCGAGTTATCACTGAGAACATCCCCTGTGGTACCACTGGAACCACTTGCTCAAAGTCCATTAAAGTTTTTCTGAGGGTGAGTAGTTTAATAAAATAATGAGTTAGTGAATAGAATCATTTTAATTATGATAGTTACAATAATTATAGTTTCATAGTTTCATAGTCAGTAGGGTCAGAAGGGACCTGAGCAGATCATCAAGTCCGACCCCCTGCCATGGCAGGAAAGAGCAATGGGGTCAAGTAGCCCAGCAAGGTGTTCATCTAACCTCCTCTTAAAGACCCCCAGGGTAGGAGCCAGCACCACTTCTCTTGGACGCTGGTTCCAGGTCCTAGCCGCCCTGAGTGTGAAGTAGCGCCTCCTGATAGTGATGTTGAAAATGATACATGAAACCAGGAACATCAGTTGGCTCTTTAACTGTCTTTTGGTTTCTCTTCTTATTTCAGAACTATGAACTGATACTCAGTGATGGGAACTTTGAAGTGATACAGAGGGTCCCTGGAGGGGAAATGCCATTCACAATCCGCTCCATGGGTCTCTACCTGGTGATTGACACTGATGCTGGGCTAATAGTCATGTGGGATAAGAAAACCAGTGTATTTATTAAACTCAGCCCTAATTTTAAGGTAAGTTTCGAAGCCGTGCAACACAGGCCAGCTATCTTGAATCCACTTTGTTATTACCTGTTGAAGGAGAGAATGAAGGCACAGTGGAACAAAAGACTGTATGTGAAAGAAATGTGATTTCATGTTTTCTACATTTCAGTGCAACTCATTTAGAGTTACAAAATGCATTGGAATGATTCTAGCTGTGTAATTTATTGCACACAGATTGTACATGTTACATCACTAATGATTTCATAGTTCACTAGTGACCTAAAAATCATCACTAATAAGGTATGTCCAAAACAAAATGTAGCTAATTAATCAATTTTTTAAAAACAAATACTAAAATAAAAAAGAAGGTCCACTCTACTTCTGTCTTCAGACAAAATTCAATACAAAAGGCAAAAGCAATATTTTTATTTAAATGTATTCTCAGAGGAAAGCAAGATACGTTCATTGGACAGCCACAGTCCACATTAAATATGAAAAGTCAGGAGTTCTGTTACCCACAGGTTTTATTTACCTTTGTTATTTTGTCCACATCTTTATGCAGGGTCAGGTTTGTGGCCTGTGCGGAAACTTTGATGGAAATGGCATCAATGACTTTACCACTAGGAGTCAGTCTGTGGTAGGAGATGTGATAGAGTTTGGAAACAGCTGGAAAGTGTCTCCTTCTTGTCCAGATACCAAAGGGAGCAAGAATCCTTGCACCACAAACCCTTACAGAGCTTCCTGGGCAAAAAAACAGTGCAGCATCATCACCAGCGCAGCATTTGCAAACTGCCACTCTCAGGTATAGTAAACCTTTCGTGTGAAATTCTCCTGAGCAGGGATTATACTGTTTACAGGGTGCCTGAGGGATATGCACTGAGTTGCCAATCCCCATACAAAACATAAAGGCTCTCTGCTACTGTTCTAATGTGTATTTAAATGTGTGTGGAAGGTGCTTAATCATGGTGGACCTCATTTAGTTCCCTACTGAAGTCAACAGGAATTTTCCATTGTTTTCAGTAGGAGCTGGATTGGTGGTAGCAGACAAATTGGAGTCAGTACTATTTCCAGGTGGACTATGCAGAAATTTCATTCATATTTATCTCCTCTATTTTTGCTATGTAGATGAGTACACCAAAAAAGCTACTGATGGTGGTATAGGTATCACCAGGTCCCACTTTTTTAAATGGGATAGAAAGATTCAAGGCTGTGTTCTTTTGTCCATCAAGATCAGCTTCTGATAATATACCTAATTGTTAACATACTGATTGTTATGACAGCATATACTAATCTAATCACATGTTATTTCCCAATGAATGTATAATATTACACAGTTCTTAGGGTAGTCACTTCTTTTATAATTACTCATGCTGTGTCCTCAATTTGACATTCTCACTTCATTTTACTGAAACATTCTTGTTGAGACTTGCTTCCCAGTTTACAGTGCCTTTATTTTCTTATATCACAAAGCAGTTTGTTCACTTCAAATGTTGAGTCCAATTTTAAAGGGCAAGGTGAATTGCTATTGCAAAGCATGATGACAAATGCATGAAATAAAAACATTAAACATGACATATTCCTCTTTAAACAGATTGAACCAAATGAATATTATGAGGCATGTGTGACGGACGCTTGTGCATGTGACACTGGGGGAGATTGTGAATGTTTCTGTACAGCAGTAGCTGCATATGCTCAAAAATGTAATGAGGCTGGCATCTGCGTTTCATGGAGAACCCCATCCATTTGTCGTGAGTATTATCCTATAACTGGATGGAGGCAGAGAGGACAAAATGCAATTAAGAATGAGAAGGGAAATAAGTAAGGAAGAAAAAGTAAGGAGGGTTAAATACTGTGTGGTGAGAGGTATTGTAGTATTTCTAAATTAGTAAGGACCAGCCTGTAATTGTAGCTATCATGAAAATAAAACCATTATCTCCTACTAAGCTACATTACTGTATTATATGCCCAGCTGTTGGACTTATGGCTTAGTATAAATAAATGGCCAGGCATGTTAGAGACAGAATATTTTATGTTCTAGCTTACTGAGTTGTTATTGTTTTTGTATGTCTCCATTTGATGCATTGTAACCTTGTTATTCTGAATACAACTGAAGAAGTAAAACGGTTGCATCAAATTAGAAACCAGATAACTCCCTGGTCACTATATGCAGGAATATACTGAAGGAATGAGATTTGTACACAATGTATTTCTGGAAATAGAGCGCTTGAGAAGCATTTTAATGTATATTTTCTCACATCTCTCCCTCTTCCAGCTGTCTTCTGTGATTACTACAACCCAAAAGAGGAATGTGAGTGGCACTACAAGTCATGTGGGGCCCCATGTATAAAGACCTGCAGGAACAAAAGTGGAAACTGCAGTCATGAACTACGAGGCCTGGAAGGTAAAAAGAATTGTGCATAATGCATTTTTCTAATAAAGGATAATTACATATGGTGAACACAGTTCCTACTACTCAACATAATGAAAAGTTTTATTAAAAAGGACAAGACACAGGAGCAATCATGAAGTCTTTCTTAATAGTCTGTAGTTCTCTAAAGAAATCACAAACATGTTTAGGGAAAAGATCCTAATTAATGCCCCAAAACTGACAGTAATTTATTGGATTGCCAAAAAATGCAGCCAGACACAAAAGATAAAATTCAACCCCTCTATGCGAAATCCATTTAGAGCTTAGATATTTGTATGGGCTAAAATCACCTCCTGTTTAAAGAAAAAGTGTCTGCATATTTCTTTCCTACTGCAGGCTGCTACCCAAACTGTCCAGATGATAAACCCTATTTTAATGAAGAAAATATGAAGTGTGTTGAAACCTGCGGCTGTTATGACAATAATAGAAAATATTACCCACCAGGATCAAATATTACTTCAAAAGAAAACTGTTATTCATGGTAAGCTTAGCTGTGTAAAGATTTTAGCAAGGTGCATTTGAAGTTGTGATTGGGACATAAGCACTACATTCCATTGCTTGTGAACAGAAATGTCTGCCTACTATTCATAAATAGCTAATAGCTATTAAAAGCTATTTGATTTTGTTACCAGGACAGGAAAGATCACATTCTGAAATTATTTCTTTTGTAGTGATTTATTCAGTGTATGGGTCATTGTTTTATTCTGTGTTCTCTTACAAAAAAAAGGGGGAAGGTGGAGGGAAAATTGTTTTCAGTTTTCACCTCATTTAAGAAACACATTACCATGACCTTGCTGAAATTGTTACATAAGATTGTGTTCACCTTTAATTTTATTCCTTATTTCTGCTATCCTGCTTATAATCATCTAGCTATTTGGGTGCTTTTGTATTCCTCAGTGTTTTCTTTTTCATAACTGGTTCCTTCTACGTATAGATATTTGCTTAGAGAATCGTGCTAACAGCTCTCTCACACTAGGCGTGTCTACATGAGATGCTACAGTGCCGTAGCTTGTTGCTGTGGTGCTGTAGCATCAACAGGCATGAACCATAATGGCGACGCTACTGCACAGTAGTAACAAGCATCTAAAAAACCTTGAGCGGCACTGGTACTGCGCAGCAATTCCGGTTACTGTGCATTCATTTAGTACTTGGTTAAGCAAGCACTAAATGACTGTGCAGTAACAACTGCGCAGTCCACTGCTCACATAGATGCAGTCACTGAGTAACACATTTATTCCATTGTGTAGGGCATCAGGTCTTGTCTAAATTGTAGCCACTGAAGTGACTGCAGCTCTTGTAGATGCACCTGACCTAGCTCTAAAGTGTTTAGATACCTCTAGCAGAGTAGCTCATGCTCTGGTGCAGTTCCTTGGGTGGACTTTACAGCTTGTGCCACTCTGTGCTGCTGAGGCTACTCCTGTTACTGGTGATTATGCAAGCTAGTTTTGAGCTAGCTTGGGTAGGTCTGCAATATAGGGACTGCAGCTTTTACAGGTATACCCTTAGTCAGTGTGAAGAGAGCTATCTGGGACTAGCCCTAAATAATAGATCTTCCCCCTATATCTTGCAAACCCTGAGAAAAGGCTGTGTTCTAACAGGTAGAAGTCTGAGGGAGACAAAATCCTTCTCACCAGGTAACAAAGCAGCAAAAGAGACTCTGTGACCATGTCCAGACGAGTGCAGCTGTGCAGTATGTGGTACCGCAGTCATGTCTGTGGCATCACATCCCACACATTCAGCTGTTCTCTGCACTGCTCCCTTGCAGCGCAGGGCGGGTTTTGATGGGGTCAAAAAAACCCTCAGTAAAAAAAATATGGAGCGGTT